GGATTTGATTACATTGTTTACATGTGTCACATTATACTGCATCCCATAACTATATATAATGATCAAGTTTTTGTGAACATTGAAAAAAAAAAAGAGAGAAAGGCATGAGAAAACAGGTGAGGAATGAATTTGGGCAGAGGAGATAAAGTCTTCAAATGTCCTGATCCCTTATGTGATACCCATAGGTTGCCAAAAACCTATACGGTCCTCAGCAGAGAACCCACGTACCCTGTGAGAGCTGTTACCGCTGTTAGCGCTGGCGGGCAGGACAGGGCGAGCGCTGCCTGCTGGAGGCCCTCAGAAGACACTGCCACTTCAGAGCCATCTGGGTCCCTCGTGTCTCCCCAGGAATCAGACAGACACAAAGCAAGGCTTCTTGCAGCTCTTGTGCATCAGGGAGGGCAGGTTGTCCTGTTGGGAAAAATGCTCTGAGGACAATGTGTGGAGCTCGTGCAGGCAGTGACTGTTCCAAAACAGACTCTCAGGTCAGGGCCAGAGCCTTTTTCCTATTTAGGAGGTGGCCCAGATCCTGGGAGCTGTTTCCTTTTGTATGTGTGAGGCTGCAATTGGCCTCCCCGTGACCTGAGATCTGCCGGCCCTGACTTAGTGACGCATCAGCCTTGGAAATTATTCCAAATCTTCCATCCCATTCTTAGCTGGAAAGTCCCTGTGCAGCTCTGTCACATGGAGACCTGGGAAGTAGAGGGCCAGGTGGGACTTGGCCAGGCAGCCTGACCCATCTTCTCCCTGTGATTAGGGTTTGCTTTCTGTGGGGTTGTTATTGTTATAGTTGTTTAGAAATAAGGTCTTGCTATGCTGCCCAGGCTGGTCTTGAACTCCTGGGCCAAAGCAGTCTTCCTGTTTCAGTCCCCTGAGCACCTGGGACTATAGGCACACTCCCAGGCCCAGCTTGCCAATGATTTTTATGCCCACTTTCCAGTAGTCTCCTCTCCTGGCTAGTTAATTGATGACAGAGGGGTCCAGGGAGGGGTGTTCTCCAGTTGTCACAATGTTAGGGCACCACCCAGGGCTCCTCTCTGTTGCTTCTTTTTCTGTCTGAGTCTGTCTTCATCATCTGGATAATCTGACAGATAGTCCCTTGCTCAGGACAGAGAATCAAGGATGCTGATCTCACTGGTTTATTTTTTTTAATTACATTTCCTATGGTACTTTGAGGTTATAGGCCGGGAATGTTAAACTTATTTTGGCGATTGGGGAATTTTGAGTATTTGCCAAGTCTCCTCTGAATGTCACCTTCCCTTTGGAAAAACAGCCTCTGTGGGGATCTAGTCTTCAAGGGACACCCTGCAAAGTTATTCCCTTGTCACCAAAAACCTGGGGTGACCCTGAGCTCCACACAGATGCAGCTGGGTGGGCCTGGCAGTATCGGCCTTGACTTTTACCGACACTGGCAAAGACCTTTCTTAAAGTTTTCCTGGCCCAGAATGTCATTTCTTTAGGAGCCTGATGTGTGAATGATTTGAATAGTGCATAGTACTTCTGGTTTCTTTTTTGTTGGCTGTAGCCAAGCCCAGAATTAAATCAACATTTCTCCTCCCCAGAGCCCTGGGCTTGGGCTTGAACTGCCAAGTTCTGATGCTTGATGTCTGTGGAGGAGGGCAGAATGTCTACAGTTCTCTGCTCAGAGATACTTAAGTTCTACATCCTTCATATTGAAAGTTAGTGGGGAAGAGGTTACGTTGATGCTCCCAAAGGGGAAAACAGACTAGGACTCTGTATGGAAATGTACCCTCCTTTTCCTCTCTCTGTGTCACAAGTGTAGGGACAGCATGGTAGTCTCCTGAATTACTTTCTTTCCCAGATTCAACTCTTGGCCCTACTGCTCACAAGTTCTGTGACCTGGGGCAGCTTACTTAATGTCTATGATTTCAGTTACTTAATTTGCAAAATGGTAATGCTAGCCAGGCTTGGTAGCACACGCTTGTAATGCCAGCACTCAGGAGGATCACCGTGAGTTTGAGGTCTGCCTGGGCTATGTAGTGAATTCAAGGCCACCCTGCACTGTGAGACCCTGCCTCAAAAAAAAAAAAAAAAAAAAGTGGTGCCTATTTTCAAATTAGGCTTACTGCACATTCCTCTAGAACACCTTCCTTGAATCCCCAGTTGGGGGTATGTTGCCCTTTCCTGGGCTCCCGTTGTACGGCAGGCTGCAGGTGGTCATCAAGTGATACTCGATGCTGAAAGCTATTCTGTCTCTCCCAGAACAGCCTCCAGCTCTTCAAAGGTAGAGATTGTCTTCATCTGCTGTTTCTTTCCTAAGAGTCTATGAGAATTCCTGGCACACAGTGCACATCACCCCCTACAAAGACTTCGCCTCTCTGGTGTCTCTACATGAGCTTTTTTACTTGTTCCTCTCTGAAATTGCTTGGTTCTAAAGTGATGAGTGCTAATTGTTTGTTTTCCCTAAAATGACAGTTTTTATTTTGTTTTTCTTTTTCTATCTAAAAGAAATTCTGATTTTTATTTCATATTTATGGAGTTCCTGGAAAGCTTATGCTTAGGTAGCTGTTGCACATTTATTTCTCTTTCCCATGTACTTTCTGTTTGAAAGTGGTTGTCAAGAAATCCATGACGGGGGCCGGGGATTTAGCTCAGTGGTGCCACCACTTGCCTCAAAAGTGCAAGGTCCCAAGTTTCACCCCTGGTACCAAAAAAAAAAAAGGTTAAAGAAATCCATGGCAGGAAAGAAAAAGTCAAATATTGGTGCAGTCAGGAAGTCCCCAGCTTTCTGCCCTCAATGGCACCTGGATGTGAATCTTGCTGAGGAAAGAGAATTGGGGAGAAAGCCATGGACCTGTTTGGCCCCCTTCTCTGCTGCAGTTACCTGCCGTTTGCAGGCTTTGAAATCTTCCATATGCTCTCATCTAGCATCAGACCTTAAGCTTTTGGTGCCCTGAGCTCAGTGATGCAGTCTGGATCTGGATGTCTAAAGTGATACTCCCAAAGGTGTGATGATCCCAAGGGTGTACAGGTGGGGGTGTGTGCGGGGCAGAGGTGAACCCAAGAACATGTGTTCAAGCCCCATCACAGCACACTTACCTGATGTTATAAGTAGTCGTGCCCCTGGACTTGCTTTTTGCTAAAGACTCTCTAGTAAACTTGAAAGATGCCATTTGGTAAAAGATCCCAGTAAATGCAGCAGACTTTGTCCTGTGTCTATCTGCATTCATTTTTTTAAAAAAAAAACCTTTCTCATGCCATTGCAAAGGGGTTCAAAACTCTGTACAAGAGAAGTGCCAGCCTCCAGAACACTTTGTACAACTTGTCTTGACACAAAAATTACTAAACCAATACTGCCATTCCTTTCCTTTAGTCAAGCTTCACTGATAGACCAAAACTGAGTCAGTGTGACATTGCATGCCAGACCCCAGCACGACCCACCGAGGCCATACCACAAGACCATTCATGACCCACCCCAACCTGTGTTTCTTCCTCTTCTCTCCCACTTCATGCCTCCCCTCCTGCAGGTCTAATAAAATCTAAACACAAGTGTCTGTCCTTGTTCCTTAGCTGATGCTGCCTCCTCCCGTCTTTCTTCGTCAAGTGACTTATTATCTGCACTCTACAGCAAATGGATACCATCTACCTGTGCAGGAATCTGCACAAATTGGTGGTGAGAATGTGACTGGACATCAGCTGTATTGCTTACCTCCTATTTACTGAACACTGCCTATTCACTCCCTAGGGTTAAAATAGCAGAGGGAGGTAACTGATAGGCCAGGGGCCCAGACTCAGCATACACACACCCTTTTAAACATGTGTGTTATGATTATAGTGTCATTCACTGTTCATAGTAACCCTGGGAGGTGGGTATGTTCTCACTGGTAGACCAGGCCATGAGTTCTGAATAGTTACATAATTTTTCTAAGATCCTCAGCCCGTCACTGGATTTGTCTCACTCTTCACCTGTGTGCTATGCCGTGTTGCACTGGGCACACCACAGAGTATGTGGCGGGCCTCCTCTGACCAAAACTGGGACCATAGGGGCATCGGAAAGGAAGATCATGATAATAAGGGAGTCAGGGAACCTGTTTGGATTAAGGGAGTTGAAGTCAAATCCAGTATTTTTTTTTTAAATCCATGAGTTCCTAGTGCTTTTCAAAAATACGCAAAAGAGTGATAGTGCAGTAAGAGTGACTGAATTCTGAAGACCGCCATTTTTCAAGCTCAAGACACTGACTGACCCAGGCAGAGATGGTCAACAGTGCTCAGACCGGGGATGAAAGGGTGCTGGAGCAGAGTACTCCTGGGGGCTTCTAGTGTCACTGCATAGATGGCTGATTATTTATTGAGGGGAAATGTGCCTCAGTGTCAGGGAGGTAGGTGGGCACCACCTTACCCATACCTTACCTTCAACCTTATTCCTCCTCTTAACAGCCACGTGGTGGAAGGGCCAGCATCCCTGTTCTCTGTGCTTGTTCGGTGAAAAGTGCTTACCCATGGATCTGACCATGGGAGACAGGCAAACCCACTGTGGCTTCGAGAGGTCAGCCAAAGAGCTGGCCTGGGCCCCGAGTGGAGTCACCCACCAAACAGGATGGACCTCGGCTGCATCCCTGGTCATCAGGTTGTCCCTGGCTTTCCCCATGTGTGCTGCTGGGCCCCTAGCAGTGAGGAGAGCTGCTGAAGGTCTCACTCGAGTCCCCTTCACCCCTGCACTGTCACAGCTGCTGATGAGGGGTCTCCTCCCTGGACTCAGCCCCGGGGGTCAGGGGTGATTAGGAAGCAAATGTGGACTTGGAGTCTTTGTTTCCTCCTACCTAGGGAAGTTCTGCCAACTTCCTTCCCAGCCTCTGTCAAATTTGTGACCTTTTGATTTTCAGTCTGCCCCGTGTTCTGACTTCACAGGAGGTATACCATCCTTCCCGGAAGTGATGGCCACTGCCTTGAATGTGTAGATGTGCCATCCTTTGTCCCACACTGGGTGTGCAGTGTCTCTCCTGTGCCGTCAGAACTTATCCTCTTTGCTCGCCCTGCAGGTTCCAGTGTGAATGGCCTGGAGGAGCCCAGCGTCGCCAAGAGGCTGAGGGGCACTCCGGAGAGGATTGAGCTGGAGAACTACCGGCGGTCTGTGAAGCGGGCAGAGGAGCTGGAGGAGGTGCCTGAGGAGACACAGGCTGAGCACAACCTGAGCAGCGTACTGGACAAGGGCACCGAGGAGGATGTGGCCAGCAGGTCAGCCTATGCCAGTGGCTCTCAGCCACTGCTTCCCCAGGGCTGTGGCCACACCAGAGCCCCCGCTGAATACACTGCAGTAGTTTGTCAAGGGTGGTGTCTGAGCCAGGCTGTCTTGGTCAGACCTGACTCTTCTGCTTTCCAGGTGTGGGACCGACCCTAAGCCAGTTATGTAACCTCCATAAGCTCAGGTTCCTCGTCTGTAAAATGAAGCTAATACTGGTGCCTTCCTTGCAAAATTGATGTGCCAGTTAAGTGGGTAGATAGGTATATAATGTGTAAAACGGAATTCGGCACAAGCAAGCACTTGGGGGTTTTTTGGTTTTTTATTGTTATTTTGGTTTTTTTTCAGTAGTGGAGATTGAACCCAGGGCCTTCACAATGAGCTATGTCCACTGCCCTTTTTGATCTATTATATTTCATTTTGAGACAGAGTCTTGTTAAGTCACTAAATTGCCCAGTCTGGGCTTGAACTTGTGATGCTCCTGCCTCAGCCTCCTGGAGTGTTGGGATTGCAGGCTTGCACTACCACACCCAGCTTACCTGTGAGTTATTTTGTGTGGTGCTGTCTGCATTTGGTCATCCTCACAGGAATCTGTAAAATAGATAAGAGCATGTATTTTGTCATCTGATAGGTAAGGAAACAGGTAGCAGCTGAGATTCCAATTCTCCCTGCGTTCAAACCCAGGATTTTTTCAGTTTTCCTGCTGCCTGTGATCTATTCCCTTCCATTTTATCTAAGTCAGCATCAGCCATCATATCACCTTGTAGATCTATACATAATGCAGGTATCTCTCACTAAATAGGGCAGAGCCAGTAAAGATTACATCTACAAAACGAATTGAATATGCGTACCGTGTCTTTAGCAGTTTGTTAATCATTGAGAAAGTAACAGAAAAGACCGAAGCCACAGACTGTTGTTTGCAAATTCATTGGCAGGAAGAGATTTTCACACAGAGAGAAAAGCAGAGTGCCACTGAGGGGCAAGGTAGTGCCACGGAAGGAGCCCTGGGTTTGGATTAGGGTAACTTTCTTTCTTTTTTATTTATTTATTTATTTTTTGGTACTGGGGATCAAACTCGGGACCTTGTGTTTTCGGGGCAGGGAGTGGAACCACTGAGCTAAATCCCCGGCCCGATTGGATTGGGGTAACTTAACCTACGAGTTCACTGTGCAGTCTCAGGGAAGCCCCCTCACATCTCTGGTGTGTTTTTTGGTTACTGCAAGTAAAGATGGGGGGAGCAGAAACCTGGGGTGTCCCAGGGGCCACAAGCAGGTGGTTTTATGCTTAGCCAGTTCCAGTGTTCAGGTCTGTTTAACTGGGTGATACCTTTGGAGGCTGTGCACACTCTGACCCCTACAGGAGACCAGCATCTGTTGTTTTGCCCTCGGAGCTTCCAGTGTCAGTAGAGATGGGTGTCTGCTAAGGCGGGAGGGTAACAAAAGAAAGGGTGATCATCCTTTGGTTGGTTGAGCTTGACGATTCGGTGTCCCCTCACACACCGGGCACTTTGGCGGGATAGAAAGATGTGTAGGGATGAAGACAGCGGCACACTTTAAGGCCTAAGAACATTTTTCAATGAGTGTTTGCTGGCAGTTGCTTCTAGCTGCATCCCTCCTGCCCCGGTGTAGACAGCCCCTGGATGAACCACTCCAGGCCGGCCCCGCAGAATGCTCCCCCATGCATTCTAGGGCAGCCTCCCCTTGGTACCTGCAGTTCTGAAGCCTCAGTAATTGCAAGTCACTGTCATATAACTCAGCATCACCTCCAGAGCACCCTTGAGCTGCGGCCCACCCTCCTACACTCAAATGGGGGTGCAGTCTCAGCACCACCGTGTGGTGGGGATGGTAGCCCATATGTCCCAGCGTGCTGATAAACCCTAGAGCAGAATGGAGGGTGCATCTGAGTTAAACATGAAGTCAGTCAGCATCTGTAAGGCGCAACAAGTGCCTTGTCATTTAAATTTGAATTAAAATATAAAAGGCAAGTGCCGAGGATATACCTCAGTGGTAGAGTGCTTGCCAAGCCCTATATGCAAGGCCTTGGGTTCCATCCCCAGCACCACAAAAAGGAAAAAGGAAAAATTTTTAAAGGATCTTTTTAGAAAAAGGCAGTGATAATAACAACAACAAATTTGCATCAGGTGCTATACAGGGTGAAAAATAGTCTCTTGAAAGTAGGGAGCCCGGAGGAAGTAGCTACAGGCTTTGCCACAGGAAACAGTCCAAGTGCTGTTTCCTCCTTCCCTGCAGCACGAGGCAGGAAGCAGGTGCCCTTTCAGTCCTCAGTGCTCCTGGAAGAGATGTGAGGCTAGAAGTTGAGAAGTGGCGTGATTTTAAGGACTCATCCACTCCAGCCCAGGAACTCCCATTCCATTGTTTCAGGGAACTCACCCCAGTCACCTGCTGCCGAAGGCAGTGAGTGTGATGTTTCAGAATGCGGCTTTAGACCTGGACTTAAAACCCAGGTGTACTACCTACTGGAGGGAGGCAAGTGACTTAACTGCTCTGTGCCTCAGTTTCTTCACCCGCAAAGGGCACTGTCCTTCATAACTTACTGTGAGGATTAAATCAAATAAAGCTGCTGACACTATCCAGCACACAGTGGTCACCAAGTAAATGAGAGCGATTGCTGTTGCTATTGTGTCTCATAGGTCCCCGCAGAGTGCAGGTGGCAGGCCAGGGATTTTTTGCATTGGTTCCCTTAAATGGTAGGTTAAGGGCTAGGAATTGGTTGTGGCCCAAACTCACCATGCCCTGCCCACCTTGGTGACCAGACCCTTCATATCTCCAAACCACCCAGAGGTCCTGCTAAACAGCAGCTGCTGGCCTGAGATACTGATTCCCACACTGTGGGGTAAAGCCCAACAGTTTTCATTTTAAACAGTTCCTAGGTGCTGCTCTAAAGTTTCTAAGTTTCCCCACCTAGGACATTTAGTGAAAAACTAGTTCCTAGTCCCTCCCTGAGGATGTGTACAGAGAGGCTGGGAAAGTCTGCTTTTGTTTTTGTTTGTTTATTTGTTTTTGGTACTAGGAATTGATCTCAGGGCCTTGGGCTTGCCAGGCAGCCGCTGTGCCACTGAGCTACATCCCTGGCCCAAGGAAAGTCTGCTTTTAACAGACATCCTGGGTGGGTCTCATTATAGATTCATGATGGAGTTCACACAGGGACCTACGAATCTGCGGCCACATCACTGACTCTCCACCTAGGCCTAGGCAGCTGCCTGACCATCCTCCCAGGTGTCTGCTGGAGTAGAGTCAGGAAACAGTGCTTCTGTTTTCTGTGGCAAGACCAAGCGGCCAACGATGAGAGAACCAGCTCTGGGATCTAAGCACAGGTTTTCACTGACTGCCTGTTGGAAGGGATTTGTTCCACAAGGAGGACAGCATGCGCAGTGCCCAGCTGGTGGTCTTCTTAGTGTTTATAGATTTGTGACTCTAGAGGATCATCAGTGAGCGCTGGAGCAAGGAGGTTGTTTGCAGAGAGGGCAGCCATCTGCTGAAGGGTCCCTTGATTGGCCAGCCCTCCATCAGAATAGCACTACAAAGAAGTCATTCCCGTGGGCTAATGGTGAATAAATGGGAATTCCTGCCTGTTCCTCTCCTGCCTTACCCCCTCTTGCCCACGGAGGCAGTAACATGAACTGCAGGTGACAGGATGTTGGGCTCAGCACACATGAGATTTCCACTCTGAAGATTGCCGAGTGATACACCTTTCTTCCACCTGCTCAGCAGTGCAGTGTTCATGGGGTTGTCAGGGCAGGTGGGACCAAGGACATGGCCAAGCAGGACAGCAAGTTGCAGTCTCTGGTTAGAAAAGCAGAAGCCGTGAGTCTCGTTTTCCTCTGACAATTGCCCAGGAGCTTAGGGGGCCCCATGTAGAGCCTGCCTTATGCAGGGTGGGGGCTGCCTCAGTTCCTATCCACACCTTCTAAGGGGAGATCCCGGGCCTGGATCACAACACACTTCCTGGGCTTGCTGCCCTGAATGCCAGCATCAAACCACTCTTAGGTTCTTGGAGAACCACCAAAGAGGGTACAACATGGTGCTGTGTGGATGTCACTGAGAATGTGACCCCTCACACCCATGATCCAGCTTCCTTAAGCTGCAGTTGCCTCATTTGTAAAAATAGAAATAATATTCTCCCTTATCTGAAATGTTTGGAACCAGAAGTGTTTCAGATTCCAGAGTTTTTCAGAGTTTGAAATATTTCCATAGACCTCACAGTTGAGTAATCCTGAATCCAAAACTCTGAAATCTGAAGTGCTCCAGAATCCAATTTTTTTTTTTTGAGAATCATATTGGCACTCAGGAAATTTTAGGCCTTCAAGTTTTGAGTTAGGAATGTTCAGCCTATAATGATAAGTGTACCCTGGAGTGTAGTTGAGTGAGCAAATCCAGAGGAAGTGCCTTGGTGGAGAAAATGAACCAAAAACAGAAAAAAGAATTAAGAGAGGAAGGGCCACATGCCGCAGAGTCCATCCTTGCGGCTCTGTTGCCTCCCCTGAAAGACTGTTGCCCCCCCTGAAAGACTGTTGCCCTTGGCTGTTCCCCAAGAGAGTACAGACCACATCAGTCTCACAGGATGCCATATTGTTCCAGGGCAAAAACAGATGCCTGCTGTGAGAGGAAGATAACCTTGAGGGCTGGCCTTTCTGGCACTCATCTCTACTACAAGACTGTACACTGAGGAAATGCCCTGTCTTCCTATAAGGAGGAAGAAATTGGTCATCTGTATTGTATTTTGTCCCCTGGTACAGTGACTGTCTCTGCTTAACAAGTTTCCAGGCTATAGTGCAAGGGAGTCTGCCTCGCTACAGATTCCTCCCTCCACTGCGCCCAGAGATTCAGGACTGGGCCAGCCAGGTATGCTGGATGAACCTTGCTGTGCTAGATTTATACTGCAGATCTTGCATGATGTAGGTGGCCTGGTCAGCCTGAGAAACTGCCCCAGGTCCTGTGAAAATGACACCCTGGAAAGGACCAGTTATTGCACCTTCTGGGTCTCCTTGTTCTGCATACAGAGAGGAAGGCTGGCTGGCCTTTGTCAGATATCCAGGAGAAGTAGCAGAGTCTCCTGGAAGTGGGCTGAGCTAGGAGCTTATGAAGAGAGGCAGGGGTTGACCTTACCACTCTTTTTGCATGTCCCGTGTGCCTCTCTTGTGGTCCTTGAGCTGTCATAAAACTAGCTGGAGTGGCACTGATAGCCATGAGTGGGCCTCATTATCCTCCTGACAGGGGATTTATTCATTACCACATCATTCACAGTGCAGCAGGCCCAAGACATGGCACGGGCACGGACCCCCCTGTACTGAGGCCTCTCCTAGGAAGCTGCGGCCCAGGGCCTTCCAGCCTGCTGACCATGGGGAGCCCTGAATAAACTGAGGGGCGCCCTCAGCCACGGAGGAGGGAAGGATGCCCTTCCCTCTGCCCACCAAAGGCTTAAGATGAGCACTGAGGCCTCCTCATCCATATTTCATGTTTGAGCAATATAAAATGACATGAACTGGGTTGCAGTCATTAATGAGAAAATGAACTAATGAAAACACAAAGAGCAAATTTAATGCAGGTAAAGAAAATACTGGAAAGCCAGCTGCCTGGCTTTTCATGGTCCAATCCTTATGTTACCTGTTTTTTTGTGGGTTTTTTTGGTACCGGGGATCGAACTTGGGTCCTTACGCCATGTTACCTGTTTTGTGGTACTGGGGATTGAACTCAGGACCTTGCACTTGGGAAGCAAGTGGCAGTACTACTGAGTTAAATCCCTGGCCCATGTTAACTGTTTTAAACTGCCTCCTCCTAGCCCTCTGCTCACTGCACTTCTGCTCTGCCTTGCTTCATCTTAAGATGTTTGCATCTTATCTCCCTCTGGGTTTTTGTTTTTTGGTTTGTTTTTTTTTATTGAGACAGGGCCTCGCTGTGTACCCCAGGCTGGCCTCAAACTAGCAGCAATACTCCTCCCTCAGCCTCCCAAGTGCTGGGATCACAGGCATGTGCCACCACGTGCGCCACCACATGCGCCACCATGCCCAGCTGAGAATGAGGATCTTTTCTAGACCATCATTGTGTATGATGTTTAGCAAGTGCACTATAAGTAGAAATCACTCAGTAAGTTTTGCTTGGGTGAATGAATGGAGAGCAAGATTTACCAAACTGAGCTTGCAATAAGCATCCTGCTCTTTCTGTCTCTTGTCCACTGGCTTAGCCTGAGTGGTTACTCAGAAATGTTTACTAAATGCATGAATGAATATGTAGATGAGTCAACAAGCCAGTGGAGAGCTAGAACTCCAGAGTGTAACCCAGGTATGATGAGAATAAGTGGTTCCTAACCTTCACAGCATTCCTGTGAGGCAGGTATTAATTACATGACCTCCTGAGGTCTCATCCCCAGAACAGCAGAGCCAGTGTGGCACTGGGAGGGGGTGGCCAAGGAGAGAAGAACATAGGTGGAGTCTAAGAAACTACCCAACCTGGAGCTTCCGTGGTCCTGCTTCAGTGCAGTCAAGCAGCACTGCTTTCTTGCTGTCGATGTGTGACAGTACACACAGATTATCACTCACCCCTGCCCCGGTGTTTTGAGTTTTCATTGTGAGTCTTACATAGGCAGTGAACTGGCTGGTTGATAGTCCATGTGGTTGATCTCAGTCTCTAGGTCAGCCAGTACTGAGTGACCCAAAACCTGTACCCTAGATCATATCCTTGATCTTCCTGGTTTACCACCCCCATACTGAGACTACAAGCTTTAGTGAGTCCTCTCCCTGGGTCCCATTGTTAGACTCCACCCAGGCCCCAGGCAGACAAAGGTCCTCTCTACCATGGTATCGGGAGAACATGACGGGGGTGGGGGTGGGGTGGGGGTTAGAGTTTACCTCCCTGGAGTCGAGGACAAGGCCAGACCTCTCTTTGGGCATGGTTAGTATTTCCCCTGCACAGCACTGTAGCACTCAAAGTAAACGCCATGGTCTCACCACTGCCTGTGCTTGGGCTGTACTCTCTCACACCCAGATGGGCTGGGAGGAAACCTGCCTGGGCAGAGAGGACCCCACCTTCACAGGAAGTTGAGGCTGGGCTTGGCACTCCATCATGCTTTATTGTGACAGCCACATCGTCCGCAGCCCAGTCAAGTGTACACTCTTCACAGAGGGCAAAGTCTTCTGAAAAAGATGCTTTGGGGATTATGAGACCACTGTACTTCTCCAGGAGAGCCCAAGGCACGGAAGAGGATGGGATTTTATTCATGTCCTTCCTGTCTTCTTCCTCAGCAGGGCCAGGAAGAGGGCATCCTAGAAGGTGGGGTTGGATTTTGGCTTCTGTAAATTCTCCCATGCAGTGCAGCCTCTGTGCCAAACCATGAGCTGAGCTGGCATGGGCTGTGAGGGCACAGGTGTGAAGAGTACCCGCCTGTCAGGTGTGTAGCCCCTGTGTGCAGGGCCTTTCCCAGCAGCCTCTGTGCCACGGTGTGCGGTGGGCAAGACCTCACCTACCACTTGCCTGTGTATGCAGCTCAGGAATTGGCACATGGTGGAGTCTCAGGGAGCCCATGAAATCTAGAAGCTGCTTCCTCCAGCACTGGTTGCTTGGCAGCCTCTGGCAGCTCCTTCTCCATTCCCATCAGGCTATGGTTCTGAGAAACTGCTGACTGACCCAAGTAGAGTAGAATTGACTTCCTCAAATGGGTCGAGGTGAAGGAGGGTTTTTCTCTCCATTCTGGAAGCCTGGGGTTATGGGTTTATAACAAAACCAGTCCGTCACTCCCACTGTGCCATCCAGGCCCTCTGTGAACCCTAACTCTGTGGTCGTGGTGTTCTCTTGGCTGTTGGCCTGAGTGAGTTCGTGTAGGCGCTCACTCAGATGTGTGTGGCATCCTGTTCCCCCCAACCCTCTCTTTCTGGCCAGGGAGGAACATGCTCAGCTGGTGCTTTGCTGGGACGCTTTGGCTCTGAACCATCCCCTCCTCTGTGTTTCGTCCTTCCCTCACTCAGCCGTGTGGTTGCTTTTGACAGCAGTTCCGAGTCAGAGATGGAGGAGGAGGAGGAAGAGGAGGAGGAGGAGGAGGAGGACCAGCTGCCCACCTCTGACCTGGGCGGGGTTCCTTGGAAGGAGGCTGTGCGGATCCACGCCCTTCTGAAAGGAAGGAGTGAAGAAGAGCTGGAGGCCTCCAAGAGCTTTGAGCCTGGGGAAGAGGAGGAAGAAGAGGAAGAATATGAAGAAGAGGAGGAGGAGGAGGAGGAGGAGGAGGAGGAGGAAGCATCCAGTGAAGGTTAGAAAAGTCTATCCTGCCATCCCTGACCCTGTCCCACTTAGGCATCCTGAAGGTGTCAGTGGCTTGGAGTCACACAGATGCCTCCCACAGAGCCCGAGACCCTGTCTCCAGCCACTCCTACCCTTGGGTACAGGGCAGCCCATGGCAGTAGGAGTCATTCCATTACTCACATTGATATTGTTTATTGGAAGTGGCAGTCAGGAACCAGTCCAAAGACTGTTCAAATTAAGTTATTCATTCCTTCTCATTTTCTTTTTTTTGCCTTTAGTTTCAATTAGAGAAATTACTTAGAATGAAGCAAGGGAATTGTTCTTTCTTGAAGAGTCCCTGATTCCTAGTCTTGGATGATGGAGGCTGTTGTGAGCTTAGCTGCCCATTGGACGGGGTTCCCTCAATACTCAGAGTAGTGCTTGGGGCCAGAAGTCCTAGGAGGAACTTAGGTTCAGTAGTCAGTCATTTTAGTTGGTTCTAAAATATTCTCTTGCCTTGGGCACAGGATTTTTTTATTCTGTACCTCTCTCTGGCTCTCTGCCTGCCAGTGACAAGGAAACCAATTTCTGGGCCCCTCTGCCTGCCTGTGTAGAGAAAGATGATTGTACTTCCCTGTCCTGTCCACACAGGGCACCCGTGGGTGGTAAGGAAGGAACCAAGGCAGGTGGAGACTGGATTGTCCAGACAAAGACCATGCTCCATGGAGGTGGAGGGCATGGAGCTGAGAGCAAGGACACAGGCCTTCACATTCCTGAGCCCCAGGAATGCGACAGAAGAGCAGATTAATAGTGCCCCACACAGGAGACTTGGCACACGGTTGCCCTGCTGCTCCTGGGCTTCTCTTTGCATTTCCTGGAATTTGACATGCCCACCCCAGGGGCTGTTTCTCTGGCACCACAAGGCCCATGCCTTCCCAGACACAGGGTTCATGTTTCCAAGCCACTCCCTGGAGGGATCTAAGACAATGATCCTGACAAGGCAAGGTGGATGGGAAGAGAGTATCCCCGACCCTGACCCAGGGGCCCGGCGTTGGTCTGAGTGTTCAGGGTCAGAGCACCTCCTCAGAAGCTTCTAGAAAGCTTCCCTGCCGAGCCTCTCCGCTCCAAAGGTGGAGGCCCATGCTGGGACAGGGTCCCCTGCAAAGCTGGTGGCCTGTGCCCCCACCAGTCGGTTTCATGAGACACAAGTAAGGTCTGCATGAGAAGGAGCCCCAGACCCTTGCTGGAACCTGAGTTCTCTCTGCTCAGCTGCATCTACAGAGGCTCAGCGCCACCTCCATATCCCTGCTGTCAGAGAAGTGAGCCTGTTCATGACTAAAGCAGGGAAAGGTATTTTGTTCATGCTATCCCAGAAGTCATTATCTCCACGTGACCATTAATGCTTAGTGGCTTTTAACCCTGACACAGCTTAGGGTCAAAGCTTGACCATTCCCTCTTTAGGAGAGTGCAACCACCTTTCTCTCCTGAAGACAATTTCCTGGTCTTGGACCTAAGGGCAAGACCATACCTGTAGGGAGCAGAGTTTGAACTAGAAAAACACATACTGACAAATTCAGCCCGACTCTAAACATTCCCAGTTGAGACCCTGTGTCCCCAGCTTGGAGTGTGTGTTGTCTACTGGGCAGCAGACTTTGATGCCTGTGTGGGCAGCAACAGACACTCCTGCCGTGCAGCTGAAGATAACTCTGCTCTCTTCTCTTTCCTTCCCTCCATTCCCTTTTCTCTCCATTTGTCCCCCTGCGGGATTCTTGATGGTGTTTGTGGGTATCTGGCTCCCCCTGCTGTAGAAGGGGAGTATTGCCCCTGGGACAGAGAACTCCTGCAAAGCCAGTGGCTCCAGCATCTCTCAAAGGAAGAAGAAACGGGTACACGTAAAGGTACCCATTTTGCCCCCTGCCCGCCTTTACCCTAGCTCCCTAGCAACCATCCAGAATATGCCTCCAAGAGCAGGTCCCACATGAAAAGATCTGTGAAGAGGTGGGCCAGGGCTTTCCATGTACTTAGCTGGCGCCTGGCCCAGGCCCAGCCTTCCCAGGCAAAGTACAGAGGAGCCTGTGGGTCGGCAGCCACAGAAGACTCCAGGAGAGTGTGCAACGTGGCCTCCTCTCTACCCCTGTAGGTTTTGCTGCAAGTTCTTCTTCCCAGTTAGGATTGAGCTTCTTCTCTAAGGCGGAGGGCCTCACAGCGTGGCCGCAGCTCTTCCCTCACCTTCACAGGTGCCTTTAGCATTTCTCTGAGAAAGGACGAAACGCTGGCTTCATGCCATTGCTAAGTCCCCAAGGTTGCACATGTTAACAGGAAGCAGAACTTTACTCATGGAGGAGACTCACTTTCTTCTCTTGTTGCTTCAAAGGTGAGGAAAGGCCTTGCCTTTTTTACTTTGACTTACCTTCCACAGTCCTAAGGCGACTTTGCTGTGATTCGGCCCCTCTAGCACCATAGGGACACGTAGGTCAGCCTTGCAAAGAGTGCACAAATCCGTGAAAACCAGCTGCTCCGATCAGGAGCTCGTGAGAGGTCAACACCCTCACATGACAGGCAGCAGTTGGCATCCACACTGAGGCTCTCACTGGTGCTCACTGCCCATGTCGCTTCCCCTGCTCCAAGCTAAGAGGTTGTTATCGCAGTGATTGACACTGCAAAGCCAGGCTGCCCGGTTGGGTTGCTGAAGGAAGAGGAACAAACACTTCCAGATGGAAGCGGCTCCTGGCAGGAACCTCAGAGCCCCTCAAATTGGGTGGCACCTGCTCTTGATGCCTAAACAGCCATCCTCCTCCCCACATTGTGTCCCCTCTCCCCAAGTCACGGCTCCCCCCTCTATCTTAACCCAACCGTGCGGCATGATCCAAGCACTAACAGCAGGGCCTCACAGGACAGGGACTGCCTGCCAATTCCATGGGCTCTGGCAGCAAGGATAACTGGAAGGGACCAGTGGTGAGTTTGCATCTGGTAGAGGAACGAGGTCTCGTGTCCAGGGAGCTACTCGGGGCACCAAGTGAAGTTTTAAGTGGAAAGGCTTTGATCACAGAAGAAGTAGAAGGATCATTCTCATGTCTACTCTGAACCCCCAGAAATTTGGGGTTTTACAGGATAGAGTTCTGCTCTCTCTCCCAGCCTGCCCCTCCTCTGATTCCGTCATCCTCCCACATGTCCCAGTCCCAGACCTGGCATGCAGCATGAGGCCTCTCGGAGAAGGGGACTTTTCTCTGGTAGCAGTTCTTCCTGCAGGAGCTAACCACCAAAGTACCCACAGAGCACATTTCTGTCCCGTGTAAGTTGGCTGGCTCCATCCCGTCACAGCTCTCTTGTCACTTCTCAGAGGAGAAGCTGTCAGCCTGGCAGGTGGTGGTAAGCACCTTGCCATGTGGCCACAGAAGGGCCACAGGTGACGTCTCCTACAGGTCTGTACTCTGCTAGTGACCGCTGAGTCCGCAGGACCCCTGGAGGGATGGCCCTCGGAGGCCAGTTGTAATCTGCTTTTTCCCCACATTGGCATTTGGGTCCCTCAGATGCACCTTAGGATGAAAAGAGCATCAGACTCTGTATTTGGAGGTGGACTGTGTGCTTTTCTTTATTGAAATTAGTAGTATATATTAAGCTTTAAATGATTAAATCAAACTGAATGAGAAGTGTGTGTGTGCCAGCACAAATTCTCAATTTTTATCTCTTTCTAATTCATACTGCTCCTGGCAGCTGCTATAACTTTTCTATTTCCTTTCCTTTGGTGTTTCGTCCCCTCCTCCCCTTGACTGTTTATTTTCCCATTCCCTGCTCCCTCTCATCTCTTCCATCCTTTGAACCTGGTCACTAGCTGGGAACCACAGGCTACAGCAAATCATAAATCCAGCGGATCCCTTGGCGATCCAGGCCGATGTGCACTGGACACACATTCGTGAGAAAGAGGAGGAGGAGAGGATGGTCCCGACCTCCGAGTCCTCCACTTCTAGAGGTAACTGCCTGGAGACCCAAGGCCTGGTGCACCTCGAGCACCTCCGCCCTCCATCCCCTCCCACTACTGCAGAGGACCTTTCTACTAGTGCAAAACCACCAGCTTGATCAAAGCAGGAGCCCATACAAGAGTGCATTTTCCTGATGTTAACCCGACCGCTGCCTTGGCCTCTCCTTCAAGGATATGTAAAGTTCTTTATGGAATAAGAGGTTTCAGTCTTTCTCCACTGATGCAAAACAGTAATACAAACCTGACCTAGGAAAAAATGGGCTTTTTCTTATTTTGAGACAGAGTCTTGCTATGTAGTCTAGGCTGGCCTTGAACTTGTGGCAATCCTCCTGCCTCAGCCTCTTGAGTGATGGGATTATAGGCATGTGCCACCATGCCCAGCTCCTTAGCTCCTTGGCAGATTCTTCTTCCACTCTGTAGAGGTGCTGGTGCTTTCCCTGCGGAGTGAGCTTGATGTGACCGTGCATGGCAGGCAGGGGAGGGGAGCATATTTTAAGTGAAGTCAAAAGAGACGTGTATGAGGGTGGCTCTTAAGTCACTATTATTTTCAACTGTAGGTTTCGGCCGAGGTGGTCTGTGTTTCCTAGTCAGATGAAAATGTGCCCTGTTCAGGCTGGTTTTAAGGAATATCAGTAAAAGAGAGAGGAGTCTGGGGGGGACTGGTGGCTGCGTGTCGTCCTCAGCTGAGTTGGCGTCCTTTCCTCTGGCTCCCTTAGCTTTGTGTACTCCTCGGGCTGTTGCAAACCACAGTTTACAAAAGGTGTTCACAAAAGGATGCTTCCTGCCCTGGGGAAAGAAGCTCAGCCTTTCATGGGACATTTCTCCCTTGCAGCCCCAGATCTTGCCAGGAGGCGAGACCAGCCTCCACTGATGACTTTTGCAACACTATAGATGCCCAGCAGCTGTGCAGAGGGTGACGAGAGCCACTGCTGGACCCGGACAGCCCTGCCACCCTCCCCGGGCTCCTCTCCTCTTTCCCTTCCCTGAGTGCCCATCACACAGGCTCCCAGTGGATCGTCACCCCTTGTTGGTGATGGACAGGCCTGTGTTTGTGACATCGTCTCAGCCTCTCTTCTGTTTGGACTTCAGGATTGACCCAGCCCTCTTCACTGGGAACTCTGACTGCTGTGTAACTCTGGTTTATCATCTGTTTTCAATTCAGTGCCCGGCCTCCCCTCCATACGCCATGCAGCAGTGCAGGCCTGGCTGGAGACGGTCTCCGGAGGTAGTCTGGTGATGTTGGATCTCCCCCACTCACAGTAACCTCTCTCTCTAGGTGGCTCTGCTGATGCCTTAACACTAGAACCCGGGTCCCGCCACAGGTGCATGTGAGGGTGGAGCCAGAGGCGGGTGGGCACTGCATGCCTCACCCGGCAGCCTTCCTGCATGGGCCAGAAGCGCCTCCCACTCCCCAGGGCCACGGAGAAGGACAGAGACAGCCTTCTATTCATAGAGGTTAGGATAGAGGCCACTGCTGAGGGAGCCTTTTTTGCATACATTTCAAATCTATAGAAATTAAGTTGGGTGACAATTGGTGTGAAAACCAGAAGAATCATAATATTCCATAGAGCTACAGAGCTATCAGAGTATCAGAGAAGGAAATAGGCAAAAGTCAGGGAGGTGTAATGGAGAAATGACCAGAGCAGAGGTCAGGGCAGCGTGCTGTGCAGCTAGAGCATGATGCTCTCAGCTGGGTCTCCAGACTGAGCTACAGGTGTCTCTTTAAGCACTAACACCAAAAGATAATCCAGAAACCTTAGCTGTCTTAAATTTTTCTGGAAACACATTCCTCCATGAAGAGCTGCTGGTATTTTGGGCAGTCGGTTGTTCCATTGGGGTGTTCAGTGTCCTTGGCCTCTGCCCTCTCAGTGCTGTGCAGTGCCCATGCCCACCCCAGTCACCATGACAGCCAGAGACTGTGCATTCCCAAGCACTGCCTGAGGAAGGGTGGCATTGCTTCCTGGCGGGGAACCGCGGTACTTCTGGGATGGACTGGCACGTGTGGATCTTCCCAGCCCAGCCTGCTGTCCTCGGCCATGGCAGAACACACACGGATGGGAGGGCCATCTCAGACCCTGAGAGAGTGCCACTGATGTCCAAATGAGCTGGCCCGGAGCCGTCAGCCTCACGACACAAACTGCTGGGACCCTAGTTAGTGTACACCCCAGGTGATGGGACAGGCCAAGGGAGTGGACTTCTCCCCACCTGGCCACGGAAGTGAAGACCATTCCTGGCTTTCATAGCGTGTGGCCGCTTCTAGCACTGTGCTCTGCACCCTAACCTGGATTCCATCCCCAGTCCATCGCTCAGGCTGCATCTCCTTCGGCATCTGCTGCTGCTGCTGCTGCTGCTGCTGCATCAGTAGTTCTTCTTTTTGTTTTTTGATATGTGTGATAATCATTCTTTTCAAGGTCCTTAAGGAATGTTGCCCCCTCCCACACTCACCCCTCCGGCTCTGTGGCAGACATTTCTTAGGAGCTCCAAACTGGAGAACCTGTGAAGGACCGAGGGCCCGGGACAGGGACAGGCTAACCGAGGGGCAGACTGGGGAGTCCTGGGAGGGGCCTCTTCCAGCTCACTTGCCCACAAGAGTGTGAGATGACCACCTCCACGCCAGGCACCCTCTGATTCATCCAAGCAAATGTTTCAGGCACAGAGCCTTGATCCAGAAGAGGAATTTGACATATTCTGACCCACCGGGTCTTTTGTTCTCAGACGTGGTATAGTGCAGCGATGAGCTTGCTGCCCGTGTGCAAAGCTCAAGTTGGAGGAGAGGTCCATGGAAGACTCTGCTGCTTTTTGGTGGGACTTTTGTTTGTCCCACTCAGAAGTCCTGCTCCATGGTGCTTGGTGAGCTGTCTTTGAGTGGCCAGAAGCAGTGTGGTCATTCAAAGGCTTTAACTGTGGAATTAACTGAGTGGTCTTCCCAAGTATTTCCCCCCAAATGCTCTTACTATAGGAGACACCTTGGCTCTGGCTGCTCTGGTGTCCCAGAAGGACAAGTGTAGCATTAATCATTCACCAACCCAGAATGTAGCCTGAAGCGCGCCCATCCTGAACCCTAGACTGTCTAGTACATCCCAAACTGTTTTACATAGTTCTCTAAAAACTAGATTTGAACCAGCATCTTATACATGTGCATAAAAGATAAGTATACAGCTTAAGAAGTTATTTTTAGGTGTTGTTGTTGTCGTTGTTTTGAAACAAGGTCTTGCTATGTAGTTCAGACTGGCCTTGAACTCACTGTGTAGCCCTGGCTGGTCTGGAACTTGCAGCGTTCCTCCTGCTTCAGCCTTCCAAGTGCTGAGATTACAAGCATGCACCAGCATGCCTGTTTTAAGGAACTATTAAGGAAACAAAAACTTGTATAACTGCTGTCTGGGTCAGAAAATAAAATATTCCCAGCATCTTGGAGGTGCCCTTCCTAGTCACAGTCTTCCCTTCGTTCATCCCCAAAGGAAGTCTTTTCGTGAGTTTCGTTGTAATCTGACCTCAGTGGGCACCTGCACCATTGTGGCCACACTGTACCGATGCTGAAGTGCTGGAGGCAGTGGCAAGGCTGGGCTGCAGCTGTAGGACAGCTCGCCATTATGTGGATTGCCCTCTCCCACTTGCAGTGCTGCTTTCTAAGAAATTCACCTGGAGTCTAATACTCCTGTGTCTTAGGCATGTAATCAGTTTTGTTTTCTTTTCCCTGTTTAAAGAGAGAGAGAGAGAGAGCACTCGAGACTGGGGCTGTAACTCAGAGCTCCTGCCTAGGATGTGTGAGGCCCTGGGTTCCATCCCTAACATTGTTAGGGGGAAAGAAGAAAGACAGACAGACTGCTTCAGCCAGTTCCTCTGCTCTCTAGCTTGCCTTGGGCCTCAGGCCTCAGAACCCATCTCCTGAAATGAAACTGTAGAAGAGACTGGAAGGTGGCTGTGCTTGGAACACTAGAGGAAGCCACAGGGGCCCTGGTAGCCCCCATGTGGCTCCTCCTCTGCCCTAGTGCCACAGGCTCAGTAGTGGAGCCTGGACAGATGTGGCAGGAGGGAGCCTGGCCTCATTTGGCAGCACTGGAAGACTCCTCTTGAGTCCAGGAAAGGAACTTTACATATCCCTGCAATCCCCCCACACACACTTGGACATTTCTCCATATTCTCACAGGAAAAGCCTCTGCCAGCACTGGGAGAGGGGGACCCTCGAGTCCTGGCGGGCATTCACCCTGTGACTCGTGGTTGAGCAGGATGGCCGTGCACAGGTCATCCAAACCATCTGGGCCTGTTTTCCCCTCAGGGCTGGGCTGTAGAACTGTCTCATCATGAGACTAAATGACTTATGGCCTGTGAAGGGGTCCTCTGGGTGCCTGCTGGGTCTGGCCTGGCTGGGCAGCAGCACTTCCCGCTGACCACTGCAGGCTTGAGGCCCTTGTAGCAAGCAGCCCCTGGGAGAAGAGGGCATGCAGCTGCCTCCGGCTGCTCTCCTCCCTTTGTAGCCCACTCAGATGGAGAAACGGCCTGGGCCCTTCTCAGCCCGACACTGCTCCCAGAAGCACAGTCTGTCTGTCTGTTTGTCTGCTTTCTTCTCCTTGACTGTCTCTCCTTTACAGTCCCATTGCATGAGGATGACCTGGAGGAAGATGAGGACTCAGAACCGGCTGAGATAGAAGGGGAGGCAGCAGAGGATGGGGACCCGGGGGACACTGGTGCTGAGCTGGACGATGGTATGGGGCTCACCTGGGCGGCCTCCTCTTCCCCCTGCAGGGACAAGGCCACAGTGGTTAGAACTCAGGAAGAGTCAAAGCATCTGCGTTAAAGCAAAAGCTCAGGGGAGGCATGCTGGTCTCTGGGGTGGTTCTTCTTCTCCCAGTGACTTGAACAAGGCTCATTTCACTCCCATGTTGAGCTGTGGTTGAGAGCTGAGTGAATCTGAGCCTTTATGCCAGTCTTGAATCCAACAGTCTTGACGATGGGCAGAGAAAAGCAGGGAAGAGAGGCTGGAGACAAACAAGAACAAAAGTAGAGGTGAGACGGTGGGGTGTGCAGGCCTCAGCTGTGGGGTATAGCTATGGGTTGTGCATTAGTGAAGGAGAGCAAAGAGGAGTCAGCATCAGGCCTGTCCTCCACAGCCACAGCCGGAGTTGTTCTCCATGTCATATGTCATGGTCTCCAGATTTATAAAGTAAACAGAGCACTCCAGGCTTTGGGAGACCCCATGCTGCAGAGGGCAGCACTTTTTGCATCAGGAGAGTGCTTTGGCTGGGTGGCTCAGGAGCTAGGGTGGACCAGCAGGCAGGCTCTGTCACCAGCTAAGAGAAGGGCTGACTAGGACCACAGGACCTGCAGTCCATTGGTCTGTTCTCTGAAGAAGGAAGAAACAGAGGAGGACCATAGCCTGGCTTAAGGTATGCATCAATTGTGTCCCCCTGCCTCCACCAGATCAGCACTGGTCTGACGACATCCCATCAGATGCTGAAACAGAGCTTCGCTTGCAGCGCCAGGCTGAAGTGGAAGCAGACCTAGAGCTGAGGGTATCAGAAAATGAGGAGGAAGAACCTCCTGCTTTACCGAAGTGGCAGGAGAGAGGTAAGTCCTCTGCTACTGGTGACAGACACACCTGCCAGAAGCCATGCTGAGGCACAGGATCCCCTCCTTGATGTCCTGCCACTCTCTCCTCTCCCACTTGCCCTAGGCTACTGCAAGTGATTTTATCCAGCAGCTCCTTTCCTTTCTGTCCTTTGGGACCTGGCTTTTCCACACCAGAAGATACTGACAGTGCCAACAGTGTGGCACCTGGGGAAGCACCTTCAGGAGTGCCTTCACTTCTGAGGGCGGTTCTCTGGAGCAGTGAGGACAGGTCCAGGGATGCCACCTGCACTGGCTCAGTGGAACCCCTGCTCTCCTCCCATCAAGCCGTAGGCAGGCTGCTTCCTGACACCATCCACAGAGCTGGCTGGGACCCTTGGTGACCAGAGGTGGTGGGGCTGTTTTCCTGTTGTGATCCCTGTGTTCTTCTTTTCAGGTCCCTCCCAGGCCTCCAGCCCCATCCGGTCCCCTCAGGAACAAGCTGTTCTCTTCACCCCAGCCCACAGCCCCATGACAGAGGTGAAGGTTTGGGGTTCATTGTGAAAAAAAGAAACGATGGGACCCTGAGGGGACATAGCTCTTAGGGAGCTGTGTGTGAGTCCCACAAAAACTGAAGGTTAAGTGGTCTAATAGACTTATCCTGAGGAAAACTAAACCTTCATTCACTCCTCGTGCTAAGTAGAGTGGCAGTAGGCGTGATCTTGGGGGTTCTAGCTTAGTTCTCAAAGGTGGGCAAATTTATTTTTAAACTGAAGCAATAATATTCACAGAATCAAGGGTTTATTATGGCAGATACATTTCCTTAATGTTAAAATAACTATAAAGCTATTTAAATTAAAAATATGCCTCCAGAGTGCCTGTGGTGTGAGAAACCACGTCAGAGAATTCTAAGTAAACACCTCATAATGATGTCCTGTTAGGCATGGTCTGGGAAATGCCATCCCGAGGACAGATCATAGAGGAAGCCTTGCATATTAGGGACCCTGGCAGCATGGCGTAATTCAGAGTGTCTTTCTGCACAGTGGGGGAACTTTATCTTACTGAGACACTGGAATGGGGTGACAGAAGGAACTGTGTGCTTCTCTGAGGTTCCTCAGAAAGATAGTGTGACTGTAAAACAGACTCTAGTCAGTAGCTGTGAAATCTTCTCACAGTGCTGGTTGCTGTGTTGGTACCTCAGGGGCTTGGGCCTTGGGCATTGCTGGCAGGGATGAGAGTGAATTCACTAGTGTCCGTCAGACAGTGTTCATTTCAGTTGACAAAGAATGTAGGATATACGTTTGAGATGAACCAAACCCTGAAAGCTCAGTCAGTTCATTTAGACTAAGTAGAGGGGTTCTGGACATTGAACAAATAGAGCAGAAGATGAAGAAGGTACTCCTGGAGCCAAATAATAGCTACAAAGATGGAGAGGAATTTTTTCAACACACTAGGTCCTTTGAGAGCAAAAGTTCCCTCAGGGATGTCCCTGCCCCCTAACACGCTCCTCCTAACAGTGTCTCTCTTCCGTCTCTGTAGGGGCCCCAAATCCCACTTCTCTCTGTCACCACCAAGGTAAAATCCCCTGAGGAGCACCTCTTTGAACCTCTACTCCCCCAAGAGAAGCCCAAAGCTGAATCCCCCACGGATCAGAAAGCTGCATACTCTCCCATCCGATCACAGCCAGTGGCTCTGCCGGAAGCCAGGACACCTACCTCACCAATCAGCTCACACCTCGTGTCACCCATAGCCCCCTCTGTACCCGCTTCCACTCAGCTCCCCATTTGCTCCCAGCCTCGGCCTTCCTCTGAGACCACCATCCCATCGCCCACTGAGTCCCCCATTCGCTTCCAACCCGTTCCAGCAAAAACATCCACCCCCCTGGCTCCCCTCCCCATGAAGAGCCAAGGTGACCCCACGGACAAGCTGGGCAGCCCCCTTGTAGTGGATGAAGCTCTGAAACGGAGCGACCTGGTGGAGGAGTTCTGGATGAAGAGCGCCGAGATCCGCCGCAGCCTGGGGCTCACTCCTCTGCAGCGGAACAAGGGGCCCGAGCCCAGCTTCCCTTCGCCTGCCATCAAACCATTGTCCCTAAAATCCTACTCAGTTGAGAAGTCCCCTCAGGACGAGGGGCTCCGTCTTCTGAAACCTCCACCTGTTCCCAAAAGGCTGGGCCTGCCAAAGTCGGACGGTGAGCAGCTCTCCCTGCCGACTCCCAAGTCACCGCCTGACAGAGAACTGAGAAGCTCCCAAGAGGAGCGCAGGGACCTATCCAGCAGCTCTGGCCTGGGCCTCCACGGCAGCTCCTCCAACATGAAGACCTTGGGCAGCCAGAGTTTCAACACCTCAGACTCCACCATGCTCACGCCACCCTCCAGCCCGCCCCCGCCCCCACCCCCTGACGAGGAGCCCGCCACCCTTCGAAGGAAGCCAGAGCACAGGGAGGCGGAGCCCAAGGCCTCTGTCATCCCACCTCCCCCACCCACCTTCCTGCGGCCCCCTCGAGAGCCTGCCCAGCCCCCCAGGGAGGAGGTGCGGAAGTCGTTCGTGGAGAGCGTAGATGAAATCCCCTATGCTGACGACGTGGAGGACACGTACGATGACAAGACGGAGGACTCGAGTCTGCAGGACAAGTTCTTCACACCCCCCTCCCGCTGGTCCTGCCCGGAGAGGCCCCTCCGCCCGCCCCCAGCCAAGGAGAACGGGAGGCTGCCTGCTCTGGAGGGCAGCGTCCAGCCACAGAAGAGGGGGCTGCCCTGGGTCTCCCCAGAAGCCAAGGAGCTGGCCGAGGAGCGCATGCGAGCCCGGGAGAAGTCTGTGAAAAGCCAGGCGCTGAGAGACGCCATGGCCAAGCAGCTGAGCCGGATGCAGGAGATGGAGATGGCGGCCGGGGCTTCCAGGTCCCGCAAGGTGTCCTCAGTGCCCTCCCAGGGCAAAGAACTCGGGCCTGAGTCTCCCAGACGCCCAGGTCTCAGAGGCTCCGAGGAGCCCACCCTGAAGCACGAAGCCACCAGTGAGGAGGTCCTGTCGCCCCCCTCGGACTCAGGGGGCCCGGATGGTTCTGTCACCTCCTCTGAGGGCTCCAGTGGGAAGAGCAAAAAGAGGTCATCCCTCTTCTCTCCCTGCAGAAACAAAAAAGAGAAAAAGTCCAAAGGGGAGGGCCGGCCCCCAGAGAAAGCCAGCCCCAGCCTCCTGGAAGAGGTGGCGGCCAAGCCCAAGTCCTTGTGGAAGTCCGTCTTCTCTGGGTACAAGAAGGACAAGAAGAAGAAGGCCGACGAGAAGTCGTGCTCCAGCACCCCGTCCAGCGGCGCCACCGTGGACTCTGGCAGGCACAGGATGTCTCCTATCGTGAGAGCAGGTATGTCCGCAGCCAAACAGCCGCCTGGCGCCGTGCCTGAGCCGCGCATCCTCTGGGCACTTGTTGCTCTCAGAAGACCCATCTTCACATGCTGCTCCACCGAGGGCTCTTAGGTGAGATGGGAGCCAAAGCACAGGTGCCCAGAACGTAGTCCCTCTCCATACGGTGACACTAAAGCCAGCTTGGAACTGGGGAGGGGAAACTGGAGGTCGGTGCCCTTCTTAAAGTCACACTACACTAAAGGTGGGCCTGCTTGTAAGTGGGCAGAGAGCAGTCCTGCCAGGGGTCCTGGGCAGGTGTCTGAGGGTGCCATCTGTTCAGGGTCGGCCCTGCCCCTGTGGGACAAGGGTCAGCACCCACACTCACACCTTCCCCAGCTGCTCACAGGGGTGTGGACGCCGAGGAGCTGGCTGCTGTCCTCACTCATTTTCCCTTCTAGAGCTGCAGCTACGGCGCCAGCTGAGTTTCTCAGAGGACTCGGACCTCTCCAGTGACGACATCCTCGAGAGGACCTCCCAGAAGTCCAAGCGAGAGGTGGGTGGACCCTGTGGCCACAGCAGGGGGTTCAGGAGTGTTGGCGACATTTGGCCTCTGGTGAGGTAGAATGTGTGCCCCCCTCGGATCTCCCAGCTGGCAGACAGCAGAATACAGAGCCCAGCCCAGGGCCCAAGGACCAGCCACAGGAGTCGCTTCAGGCCTTTTAAATGAGTACCTTGGTGTATTTGCTTCCATGGCAAGAGTTTTGGGTTCTGCTCCTATGAAGAAGGCTAAGGTATTCCCTGCAGAAAGCTTTTCTCAGGCTGTAGGAAGCAGCTTGGCACTGTCTGTTCGCTCTTTTTTTTACCCAGAAGTTCTCACTTGGAGCAGCTTCTGCTAGGGCCTGGTGACAGTAGATGAGTTCCCTGGATGCCAGGGTCAGGGAGGAGGGGATGGAGCTATAGGCGTGGATGGGAGGTGGAACCGGGTTACTCTTTAGGGATGGACCTGCTCAGCCCGCCTGCTTGATAGGTTTGTTCATTAAAGAGGACTTTTTGCTGTTAAAGAACCGGTGCAGCCATGTGGATGGTACTCACCTATAACTTAGCTGTCCCAGAAGTTGAAGCAGGAAAATTGCAAGTTGGAGCCCAACCTGGGCAATTTAGACCGTGTCTCAAAAGTTCTAAAAAAAGTAGGGTAGATAGCTCAGTGCAAAGGCCCTGGGTTCGTTCCCCTGTAACCCTCCTGCCCCCCAAATAAAGAAAACCCAATCCTATGTCAGGTGCAGTGGTGTATGCCTATAATCCCAGCTACTTGGGAGACTGAGTCAGGGGGATTGCAACTTCAAGGCCAGTCTGTGCAGCTTAGTGAGACCCTGCCTCAAAATATAAAGGACTGGGGATGTAGCTCAGTGGTAGAGTGCCCCTGGGTTCAATCCCTAGTACCATAAAGAACAAGACAAAAAAAGAACTGGTTCCAAAACTGGCCTAGGTATATGCTAAGTGTGACGTGGGATCCTCGCTGGTCCAGGGCTTAGGGGGTGTGGCTGCTCAGCTCGCCTGAGAAGCAGAGGCCTCCATGTGGAGAGCTCCGTCACTGGTCTCCCTTGGCCCTAATTCAGTCTTCTGGTTTCCGAGGGCTCCAGTAGCTTTGTCTGGGTACAGTGATGTTGGAAGAGGAAAGGAACTGGGGAGAGTTCTAGTGGGACATCTGCATCTCAGTGACAGTGACTGAATGGGGACTGAGATCCGGGTAGGCCTCAGCAGCAAGGCAGTGACACCGTGTGAGCTGTGCTGCCCTGGGGTTGGCCCCCTCCTGTCCAGGGTGGGACCTCAGCTGGCCACTGTCTCCCTTTCCCCTTTTTGAATGAGAAGCTTCCCCAGAACATGATAATACCTTTTTAACAAAGCCTCCCTGGGCTTGGGCCTCAGTGTGCCCTCTCCATCAACAGGCTTAACTGTCGGCCTGTAGGCCAGCCAGGGGAGGCTCTGGGTGCTCTCCTGTGCCCTGCGTGTGCCTGTTCATAAAGGTGACTTGTGCGCCCTATTTCCAGGTTCCTCTTGCCAGCCTGATCCAGTTCCTCTTTAATAACTTGGCAAACTGGAAAAAGCCAGTTGGCCTGTTTCTCATCCTCTGTGCATTCGTCTTCCTGGGCCAGGCCAGCTCCCTGCAGTGTCCTAGAAAGACACCTCCCCTCCCTCTCCACCCATCTGCAGAGCCAGGCCTCGTGTGTACTCCCCCGGCCAGCACTGAGTGGTGGTCTGGGTTCACGGTGCTGCCTGCCAAGCATCCCTGCAGAGGCATTCTGGTACTGACCCAGGGATTGCTTCTGGATTTGCATGTGGATCCCTAAAAACATTCCAACACTGGGGACAAGTGCTGCCTTGGGAGGTCTTAAGGGTGTCTGTGAGGAAAGGAGAATGTGGTTCAGAGTTCCCTTTGCCTCTGAGTTGACCATGCAGATTCTCAAACAATTTGCGTCACATTGGCCAAATACTTCAATCTGTGGTCAGGTCTCCACTGCTTTCTCCGCAAAAGACTGAAACTCCTTGCAGAATGCTGAGCAGAAGGATCCTCAACAGGTTGTGCTGCAGCTGTCATCTGCATACATCCTCCCACTGACCACAGCCTCTCCCAGGCCTCCCTGGCACCAGGAGTACAGGACCTCCCTTCCCCTGCCTGTGTGAAGAAGTCACAGTCATAGATTGTGAGGGACACGGGGCCTTTGAGGCCTTGCACACCAGGTGCACCCTGCAGGGACAAGGCTGCTCACTGGAGCTCATATGGGACATGCTGAAGACAGAGCAGGGCCTGGCAGTGGTTGGCCTGGCTCCCTCCAAGGTGTGGAGTCATTCAAGCGAGCCCAAGGGCCCTTGTGTCTGCAGGACACAGAAGCCAAAGCAGAAAAGTGAACCAGAACCAAAGTAGCCCTAACAGACATGTTGAAACAGGCAATTTGATTGTGAATAGTGGGTGTAGTACTGTTTAAATGTATCATTGTCAAATCAACATCAAGTTCCTTGCAAATGACAGAGGAACTGTAGTTTTGTAGGAAAATATTTGTGCCCTTAGGAAGAAGAACATGCTGAATTTTTTAGGGAGGGAAGTTCATGATGTCTACAAATGATTCAGAAACAGAAAAGGTTTTACTGTATATAAATATTACACATACATAGCCAGGTGTGGTGGCACACACCTGTATCCCAGCACTCGGGAGGCTGAACCAGGAAGACTGGGAGTTCGAGTCAACCTGGGCTACATATTGAGAATTAAAAAATTACACACACACACAGAGGGAACATGCCACAAAATGTTAGTGGGGAAATGTAGATGAAAGATATTCAAACATTCATGGTCTTCCTCACTCAGTGTTTCTGAGGGTTCAACGTTTTTCAGAATAAGAAGTAGGACCCAGGGAACACAAGAGCCGCCTTGGCTGTACTGAGATGGGGCAGTGGTTCCTCTTGCCTCACAGACCCCAGCCCTGAGTCAGGCACCCACAAAGCAAGTACCTGGGTTTTGTTTTTACAGGAAAAAAAAACCCCACTAAATATAACTTGTATTTCTGTTTAAAATGTTTATCATGCAGAATATTTAAGATAGCTGGACACGGTGGCACACACCTATAATCCGAGAAGTTTGGGAGGCTGAGCCAGCCTAGGCAACTTAGTGAGACCCTGTCTCAAAAGAAAAGAGTGGGGGTGCCGCTCAGCGGTAGAGCACTTGCCTAGTGTGTGTGAGGCCCCAACAGCATAGAAAAAGAGGAGCAGTAGTTTCATTTTAAGTAGTTGTTTTATGTACCTGCAGCCCTGCCAGCGAGTTAACTCACATTAATCTCTTTTCTTTGCTTCCGTCTCACTTTAAATTTCAGTCACGTGGCTGCCTCTTGGCCACTGTGGCCTGAGAGTGCTGCACCTGCCCTCGGACGGCCCCTCGCCCTGCGTCACAGTAACAGGGCGGCTGTCCTGCTGGCCTTAGTCTCTCAGGCACACTGAAGGTGTCTGGCGACTCCACTCCTCTGCGCACTGCACTACCAAGGTGGAACCAGCTCCAACAGTGCCTAAATTATGGGGGCCACTTTGCCACCACCCCCTCACACACACCAGTGTTCACGGCAACCACAGGTACAGATGTCATTGCCATTCTTTAGGTGGTAGTGACATAGCCCTGTGAGTGTTTCTTTTTTTCTATTTTTGGGTGTGTGTGTGTGTGTGTAGGTTAGTTGCTGGCAGTTGGACCCAGAGCCTTCACATTGAAATCTATCCCTAACCCTTTTATTTTGAGACAGGGTCTCACTAAGTCATTAAGTTTCCCAGGCTGGGCTCACTTGCAATTTTCCTGCTTCAGCGTCCCCCATAGCACTGGCAATACCAGACATGGACCACCACACCCAGCCCTTTTCCTTCTTTAAACTGGCCTGTTCTAATAATGAAATTCTTCCGCTCCCTCTGCTCTGTAGGAGAGATGAGTCAGCCTGAGGCAGGATTTCCATGCTCAAAAGTTAAAGACGGTAAATGCACCCTTCTGCAGCCAGTACACCTGTGAAATGCAGTTCCCACTGTCTTGGTCCCTGTGATGGATGGAGGAGCAGCAAGGGCAGCAGGGCCTTGCAGTCAGTCCCTCCTGGCTCTCAGTCTGCTTATCTTGTGGGCCACTACCTATTCTGTGGCCATGTATGTGGCCAGTGAGAAAAGCAAAAAGGCAGTGAGGCTGACCCTGGTAATCTAGGTAGCTTACTCACTGCAGGAGAAGAGGTCATTTAGCATTAGCGCCTGAAATACTTTGGGCAAATAGCAGTGATTTATGCAATTTGAGTTCCCTTCACTGAGTATAGCAAATAAGTCGCCCACATCCCTGTCACTGCTAGGAGAGAGGTTTTGGGAGAGGGTGTGAGGTGCAGTGGCCTGTGTCCCTCTGTGTCTCACATCAAAAAGCAACCCCACTTGCCACCATCCCATCCCATGGAACATTCAGCGGCAGGAAGTAGATGAATTTCTGCAGCAGAGGAATGAAGGAAAAGTGGCCCCTGCACACGCACATTAACAGCAAAACGTTAACAACACAGTGGACACTTAGGCGGAGAATTGGGGGTGCTAAGGAAAAAGAGATTTCTACTTGGTGAGTAGAAAAGTAAACCCCAGATGCTGATCAAACCTGGGGTTTGGCCAGGCTGGTAGCACCCACCTGTAATCCCAGCTATTCGGGAGGCTGAGGCATCCCAGGTTCAAGGCCACCCTGGGTAACTTAGTGAGGCCCTGTCTAAAACTAAAAATAATAAAAGGAGCTAGACTGTAATTCAGTAGCTCCTAGGTTCAGTCCCTAGTACCCCAAACAAACAAAAAAACAAAACAGGGTTCATTAAAATGCAGCTGCTAGGCCCTCTGCACCTAAGGTTCTCCCTTGTGCATTCCTGTGACATTGTGGGAAAGAATCATGTGTTTAAGTCTCGTGTATTTGTTTTAAACTTCTAACTGATTTTACTCCATTTCTGTGTTCTGTTTTAATTTTTTTAATCATCATTATCATTACTATTCTGTTTTGTTTTCTGTTGCCATCCCCTTAAAAGTCGATTTATGTACCACACGCCTTGGCATTCAGGAGACCCCATTCATCAAAGGTAGTGTCCCGCTCCCACTGGCTGGTCCTCGTTGCATGCCTGTCTGTGATTAACCCCCAGCAGCTGGTCCTCACTAACTGTTCAGGCGTGCATGCAGCTGTAGCAACAAAACTTTCTTTAGCTGCATCCTGAGGGACAAGAAGATGAGACACCCGCTCTTCACTGGCTGGAGTGCATGAGGTCATTTTGCTCCGGTGCCCGGGTTGGGGGCAGAGCCACCCCTGTGGGTCTGGGCACCCCAGCGAGGGTAGTTCACCTCAGCTCTTTGTCTACGAGGTGATCCGCTGGGGCACTGAAGGCGGCGACAGTCCTGCCTACTGCCTGTTCACTTGATCCACCACTGTCATTTGAACTCTCAGTCGAGATGACGAGTCCAGACCCCTGAGTTGAGTTGGGAAGTCTCTTCTAAGATCTGTGAAAGTCTCCTTGTTTGGTTTTCTTAGAGGCAGTAATAAGCAGATCCCAAGAAAGAAGGCAGACTCCCCACACATGGCTCTTGCAGCTGCCTGCCCAGCGTCTGTTCCAAGCCCCAGTGTTCTGAAACACTTGTGGCCCACTTGCAGGCTGGGCAGCCCAGCAGGGGTCGCACCAGAGTTGCCCAGTTCCCACCTTGCACATTGATGGTGCCACTGGCCAGGCCACTTCCTTCCTGCCTCGGTCTGCAGCTGGTGCCTCTGTAGACCCCAGAGACAGTCAAGGGTCACTCCACACACAGTTCCTTCTTCAGCCCTCATTAGTTAGATTGGTATTCACCAGATCTAAAATAGAAGCATCCTTATTTTTTCCACCTCAGATGTTCTTGAAAAGAAACTTCTAAATCCCATCATCCAAAGAAAGTCTTTGAAACCAAACAAAATAATAAAAGAATCCTGATTTTTTTTTCCTTTTTCTTTCCCTGTTTGGCTCAGAAGCAGTGGGCTTAAGGAAATGTTGCACCAGGTTTTTTCTGTTTTGTTTTTTTAACTGTGGTTTTATCTTTTTTTATTTATTTTTATGTTTTTTTGCAGTGCTGGGAATTGAACCCAGGGCCTTGAGCATGCCAGACAAATTGCTCTACCACTGAGCTACTTTCCCACTACCTGTGCCAGTATTTTTATCCCCATGAGTACAGCCATCCTTAAACAGGGAAGTAAGTGTTCTTGATGAGAGAGGACCAAAGTTCCTTTGTCATTTTAATCTCCTGACCCTCAGTCCCCAGTCAGCCTCCCATACTTGTCACCAAGAGGAAGTGTCTCACCTTGGGGTCTCTAGGTGTCCCCTGTGGCACCTGGGCTCCAGCAGGAACAAGTATCCATGAAGTCTAGGCCAAGCTGCAGCCAGGCATCCTGCCCTCTGTCCAGCTGCTGCTGGGCACCAGCTCCTACTCGGGACAGTCCTCTCTGTGCCCCTGCCAGCCTGCCTCCCAGATGGATCTCCAGCCTGCATGTGCCTGGCTAAGGAGATCTGTCTTGTTCTCTCCAGCCAAGAACCTACACAGAGGAGGAGCTGAATGCCAAGCTGACCCGGCGCGTGCAAAAGGCAGCTCGGAGACAGGCCAAGCAGGAGGAGCTCAAGCGGCTGCACCGAGCCCAGGTACGGTCACAGCACAATGCTGGGAGGAAAGTCAAGGGGCTACATCTTCCTGTGCATGAGGTGGCCTCATCCATGGCGAGGGAAGGTAAAGAAGCCAAGCAGAGGCAAAAGGGACTTCCCTGTCACCCAGAATCACTGCCAGATGCAGCTACAGAGGGCCCACCCTGCCTTCAGGAGTTCCCTAATCCCTAGGTCTGGAGTAGTCATTCTGAAACCACTTAGTCCCCTGGTAAGCAGCAGTGTCCAGAGTCACTTCTTGGCCTGCTGGCCTCTGGGGGCCCTGGACTATGTGGGGAGAGATCAGAGTATTTGCGGTCATCCACCTCTGTCTTCCTGCCTCACATCCTACACTACTGTAGACTTATTCTCTGACTTACAGAGACAGGATTAGAAGAACCTTCTCAGGGGTTTAGCAATCTTGTTCTAGAAGATCTGAGGTGATAATACTTAGATGTCTTCTGTGGGACCTTTCATCCACCTGCCTTGGAGCTGCTCCAGGGAGGAGACTGGCCCTGCTTCCCCTGCATCCACACCCCAGGTGCTAACAACAGTGGCCTGGAGTCCGCTCCTGGGTCCAGTGCAGGTGATCTGCAGTCCACACTCTGAGCAGTATGTCACCCACCAGAGGCTTTGGTGATACCTTGATACAGTTTGTCTTTTTCCCTCCAAATTTATGCTGTGTGGTTTAGTTTTCTGCCTGAGAACTCAAGATAAGAGAGAAAGCTGGGTGCTTATACCACTCTTTCTTGGTAGATCATCCAACGGCAGCTGGAGCAGGTGGAGGAAAAGCAGAGGCAGCTGGAGGAGAGAGGGGTTGCAGTGGAGAAGGCACTCCGGGGAGAAGCAGGTACTGTCTGGGTTCTTTGTGAGGAGGTTTGTTCTTAGGGAGACCCCAACCTCCCCACCAGGATAGGCCAGTTCCACATCACCACATCTGAATTCAGCTCCTTTTCCAGCAGGGTTTTCTGGGTCCCTGCATTACTGAGATCTGGAGTTTCCTGTTAGCAAAGAAAACCAGCTGTGTTTGGGGGCAGCCCTGGGGCCAGGGCCTGCTCCCCAGCCCATTTTACAGCTTTCCATTCTCCATAGAATGAAATCAGAGGCACCTTCATGTGTGGCTAGCAAGCTCTAGGCTTCCCCTCCTCCTCCTTCTCCTTCCCGCCCATCATTTTCTCCATGAGAAAATGCCTGGAACGAGGGAGATCATACCACAAGGAACCATCACAGAACTGTGGCGAACAGGTCCCCAGCCTGCTTCCCACATGCTCCTTCTACACTTGGTTCCTGGGTCCTCCCACCCAAGTCACACACTCCAAGCCCACCCTGTCTCCTACAGGTGGGGCCTGTGTCTGCCCTTAGTGCGCACAGATTTCCAGGGTGATCCCAGGATCAGTGTCCACTAATGGCCAGTCACTCGGGGCACAGTTGGAGAGGCCAGGAGGACTGTGATGAGCCAGCACAGTGGACAGGGGAAGCAGCTATGAGGGTTGGGTGTTTAGTGACTGCTGTTGCAGTGCACGCTGTTTCCAGGGACCTGTGAATTTGGGCTCAGCACAGATAAGTGCAGAGCAAGGAAGGGAGCACTGACTCATCTCAGGGGGAAGCCCAGGGAGCCCTGCTGGTTCCAGACCTTCAGCGATGGGCCAACCCCAGCTTCAGGCATGGAGAGACTGATACCTACTTTCTGAAGCATCCAGAGCCTTGCCCAGCCTCTGGTTGGGGAACCTCCATCTCTTACAGAGGATGAGGCCTACAGGTCAATATTCAGATCGAAAAGAAGGCAGAGGCCTCTTACCATGTCCTCCTGACATGGCAGGGAGGAATGGGTGCTGCATCTACTGGCAGGAACACTCTATGTGGAGCTGGAAAAGAACCACCATGGGATGGCCAGGAGCAGGGGCAGCAGAGCTGTGCGCTCTTGCGGCCACACTGATCAATGGGCGGGTCTTGTGGTGTGTGCCTAGATGGAATCATCTGGACTTGTAGGATGGACGCTTGTGTAATATGAAGTGAGGTCAGGCATGGAAGTAGGACTTCTTTTCCAGGCCCTTTGAGGCCCAGAAATTGCAGCTTCTTGGTTGGCTCATTGATGACCTTCAGGTGAAGAGAAGGACTGGGGAGGAGGATGAGGGTGTGAATATTCTTGATTTTGTTATGTTGCACTTAACACATGAAGCCCAAGCCATTAAAGGAAATGCAAAACATTGAACTGCTTAGTATCCAGCAAGCCAGGAAGACTGGGATGTGTTACTGCAAGATAAGTGCTGGCTCCCATGCCAAGGAGCAGAGACCCAGGTTCAGCTCAAAGGACCTCCAGCTTCCCAGTGAACCTGTGATGTCCACCACCAGCCTGCAGGCTTCCTCTCCCTGCTCTGCATGCTCAGCCTGACCCCCAGGGGGAGTTCGCCCTCCAGGACACCCTGGGCCCGGATGCAGTGGACCACGGGCCTGCTCTTCTTGCTTTTCTCTTCTTGCAGAGGCTGCCAGGAGGGAGCCTAAACCCACCATCATTGCTTCTTAAACCTTCTGCACAAATTACTTCAGCTGAAATAGATCTTGTACCCCACAATCAGAACAGCTCCACAGGTCTATGCATCCCATTGAGTTAGAGTCCCCTAGAAGAGGAAGACTCCCCCCAAAAAAACATTCTGAGAGTCAGGGGTTGCCACTGGGGTTCGTGGCTTCTGTAAAGCACTTGGATGCTCCTCTGCTGCCATGAGACTGGCATCTACAACAGTACTTCCACACTTCTCCAAGTGTTATTTCTGTTGCTGTCAACAAGTTGGGAAATAACACTAGTAAAGATTGGCAGGGGAGGGCTGTGCTTGTAGCTCAGGGCCAGAGCATCTGGCCCAGCATATGCAAGACCCTGGGTTCCATCCTCAGCACCCAAAGGAAAAAGATTGGCGGAGGATTTTCACCAAAATTCTTCTTTCTAGTTGTTGAGGCAATTACATTTTCATAAACTTGTACAACCTTAATAAGTCAGTGGTTTTCAAACTTCCTTTTAATACCAGAGTCCTTTTCACAAGATTTTGAGTTCAAGTTTAAAATAAAAAAGAATTACTCTAAAATTTGCAAAAAGACACACACAAGCCAAGGATTTAGCTCAGTAGTACCATACCTGCCTCATAACCACAAGGTCCTGAGTTCGATCCCTGGTACAAAAAAAGAAAAAACACACACACAAACTTTAAAACACAGGTTATGGTGGAAAATTATTGATATTAGGCTCAGCATCCAGTTCATTCCTGGGGCACAGTGTTGAGAGCACCCTGATACACACAGATAGTTGCCATAAAATGATAGCAGTTCATTCTTAACAACCCATCTGAAAAATCTAGCTAGATCTCAATTTAAATGGTATAGATGCTGGAAGCTTAAAAATAGAAGAGTAGCATTTTTTTTCCCACAGCTGAATCACTAACAGATCTAATAGTTGTTCATATTCCTTATAAAGGAATCGATCTTGGACAAGAAGCTCCCAAAGAGAACAAACCAAAAGCTCCAACTACACTGTATGTCGTGATGTAAGGTCACACGCTGACAGGTGCTGCTCGGAGGCCTGTGTCTCCCTGGGCAACACTCTCCTTCCCGGCCCCTGTACAGTGCCACTCTACCTGCAGGCCAGGATTTAGATGAGTCAATTACTTAACTTCTTTGTCCTCACACATTTTACAGAGTTTAGATATGGTACACAGAAAGCGAAGAAACTTGGTCCCCAGGGCCCCATAAAAGCAGATTTACCTGGGTTGGGGATGTAGCTCAGTGGTGCCGCTGCCTGCCTGGCAAGCACAAGGTCCTGAGTTCCATCCCTGGTACAAAAAAAAAAAGCAGGTTTACCTGACAGCACAAATGAATGTGTTGGTGGCCTTTGGTAGATTAAAAGTTGACACGTAAAGCACTTGAGTGTGACATGTCTTATTTAGGTTTTTAAAAGAGAAAAGTATTTGTAAATCAGGTATTAAGAGACCTCTGAATGCCTTTTGAAGACCTGTAGTATTCCACAGAAGTTTGAAAACCACTGTTCTAGTGCAGCTCCTTTTGCCAAAACATCTTTAATTCAGAGGTGAGTTTGTTCTGTTTCTAAAGAGGCCTGCAGTAGGTTGTTGGGCTCCGGATATAATGCCTCCCTCCTCCTACCTTAAAAATTTATTTCCTCATTAATTTTTTTTTGAGACAAGATCTCACTAAATTGCTCTAGTGGGAGACAAGTTTATAATCCTCCTGCCTCAGCCTCCCTTAGTGCTGGGATTACAGATCTGAGCCACCATATCTAGCTCCTTTTCTTATTTTAATGTACATCTCCAAGGCTGGGCCAACATTGCTTTCCAGTGGTCACATCCCTACTTAGCAGCCACCATTTTTGAGGTTAAGTGTACATATTGTCCGCTCCTTTCTGCTGCCTCCTATTCCTCTTGTCAGGCTTATTGTACCTGGCTAAGCCCTGAAGAAGGTAGTCTCTGCTGGACATGGAACCTGGGGTCTTCTGGCAAGGCCCGCCAGCCCCTTAGCTGTGCCAAGCTGGCTGGAATCTGCCATCAGTCTCACTTGATTTCAGGCTTCTGTCACTGTCTGGAGGCTCAGACTTTGTCAGTCTTAGTATCAGAGAGCTCATCTCTTCCAGAGAAGATCTGATGTGAACCTGTCACGTAGTTATTCTCTGTTTGTCAAAGGCTTCTATATCTCCAGCCCTCAAGGATTAGCTTCAGAGCCTTTCAGCCTAAGGCAAGACCAAGGCTTAGGTGACTTCTGGTCCTAGAATACCTGGGAAGCTTTTTCTTACTGGAACCATGTAATTCAAACTTAAAAGCACTGATCAGCTTTGAGCAGGAGCTAAAAAGCCATTTCAGATTGTATTCAGGTTTGTGATGTGTCTGTTTTTGAAGGAGAAGCCCTCCTTTGGAAACAGAGGCTGTCAGGACCAGCATTCGGGTTGTGAGGTTTGGAGAAAAGGGGACACAGCTGCTGAGTTTTATTGTGTTTTGTGCCTCTTTGTAGTTCTGGAAGACAAGGGTGGCCTGCTCCAGCCCAACCCTTGGTGAGACACAGGCACATGAAGGATGGCAATTCTGCTGGGCAGCTGCAGGAGCTAAAGGCAGGGAGGGGCTGAGGCCAGACCTCTGTGAGCCTGAGACGAATAGCTAGGGCTAAGAACACTGCACAGGTCCCAGCTCGTGTGTTGTTTTTAAGCAGAGGACCTCAGAAGATACAGGACTCCATCTTAAGCCCTGTTCAGCAAAGTGGCTCTGCAAGGAAGGTGCAATGGTCACTAGGGGAAACACACACGTGTGTTCTGGGAGCTCTCTGCCTGCTTTAAACCTACAGATTGGGACTTTTGCAGGCCTTTTTAAGGATGTTCCTGTCTTGGACCCTCAGTCTGTAGCTTCTGATATTCAGAAACCAAGAAAGCAAGCAGCCCCAGATCTGCTCTTGAACTTTCCTACATGTTCACTTAGATAAGGCTGAGTCCAGCAGGGTCAGAGCTCCCAGCAGAGCTAGTCTCCATCGTCACTGACCTGAGGTTTAAACAGGAGTCTCACGATACTGGAGGCCAAATCATTCCCCGTGGTTTCCAGTTAACTCTCCTCACAGAGATGGCCTGTGTGTGCATGTGGTGTGCTCACAGATATGCACCTGCATGCTTTCCAGCTGCCCCTCTTCACCCTCTTGCTGTGTCTCTGTGTGTTCCATATGCTTCATTTCATTGATGGCCTTGGGCATGGGGGGACCAGGGTCATCTGATCAAATAACTCTCTCTTCACCAATTCCTTGTTGTAGACTATTGGGGAGAGTCTTATTACAGTGACCTCATCGACTTGCACCTGGGTGGTATGTATAGCAGCA